TGAGATCTACCTGCTTCTGCCTCTGGAGTGCTGGGATTAAAGGTGTGCACCACCGCCACCCGGCAGGACCACCTTTTTCAAAAACAAAAAATGATTTTATTTCATGTATTTTGAAATGGCGTAGACAGGCTGCTTGCAGTTGTATATTTGCACCACATGCGTGCCTGGTACCTTAAAATCAGAAGAAGAAATAGGGTCCCTAGGAACTGGCAACTGTTAAGTTTCAAACCTGGTACCAAAGGCTGAGATGCCTATTGAACATACCAAAGTAGACCTGGTCTCCAAGTTCTCCCAGCACCCTCAGTCCTTACCTGTTACAGGGTTTGGCTGGTAAACCCTGCTTCTTCCAGAGGCTCTTCCCCATATAATCCAGACATTTTGGTTGCCTGCCTTTTGGACCCTTGGCCTTCTGGCTGCTGTACCTGTTTTCCCCTGTCTTCTTTCTCTCTCCCCACATGACACAGCTCATTCTGGACTCTCCCAGATATGTCTCTACCTCTACTTATGCTCTCCCACATTTCTATAATAAACTAACTCTCTCTCTCTTTCTCTCTCTCTCTCTCTCTCTCTCTCTCTCTGCTAAGGTTGTGGATGTTTACACTTTCTGGCACAGGTGGGTCATGGTGACACTTACCTGAAATTCAGGAGGATCTTGAAGTTCAAGGTTACCTTCAGCTACATGCCTGTTAGAAGCTAGCCTGGGACACTTGACAGGCTGTTCTCATAATAGAGCTAAACACACAAAATCAACCAAGAAAACCAAAACAAATGCCAAAGAAGGCAATGGAAAGTCTTATCATTCTAGAGGCTACAGGCACTGCCCGGCCTCCTGGAGGTTGGTCACCCCATGCAGACACCACTGGGTCTACCCACACGCAACCTGCATGATCTGGAGCCTAAGATGACATACATATATCCGTGCTTGTCTTATAATGTTGCAGACCTTGGTGCCAGGCTTGATCATACCCTAGGATGTTAAAGGTACAGTATCACTATTTGGAAGTGTTGCATCACTATTGGTTCACTCTCTTGAGTTATAGGCTAGGTCTGGATACATGCCCATACATGTCATAAAAGCAGAAACAATTTGTATAGGCTCAAGCCTATAACCTAGCCGTCAGTAGGCCAACGCAGGCAGGTAGGTTCCCATGTATTTGCAACCAGCCTGTCTACGCCAATACCACCAGAGCATCCTGCACTATTGAGTGAGACCTTGTCTCAAACAACATGAATACATGGATGAATATATGAACATATTACTGAATGAATTTTTAAAAAGGCCTAGGGGATGGCTCAGTGGGAAAGTGTCCCATCATTCATGTAGCACAATACAAAATAAGATACTAAAAAACTTTGTAAATGAGGGGCTGGAGAGGTGGCTCAACAGTTAAGAATACTGGCTGCCCTTCCAGATGACTGCGGTTCAATTCAAAGAGCCTACAGAGTGGCTCACAAGCCTTTGTCACTCCAGGTCCTGGGAATCCAGCGCCCTCTTCTGGCCTCCATAAACAGCAGAAATACAACATGACAAACAATTCAGAAAAAAAAAATGCTCATATATTTTGTAAATGAAAAGCACTGAGGACATGTAATTACAAGTTGTCCCAGTCTGTTGTGCATAAATAAAATACCTCTTGGAAAAAAAATGCCAAGCAGTCGTGGCACACCACTTTAATGACAGCACTTGGAGGCAGAGGCAGGTGGATCTCTGATTACAGGCTAGCCTGGTCTACAGAGTGAATTCCAGGACAGCCAGAGCTACAGAGGAACACTGTTTCAAAAAGAAAAAAGAAAAACAGAGAAACAATGTAAATACCCTTTTACTTTTCATAAACATACAATTAAGTTCCTTTACAGAAAATTGCCAAACCTAGCTGCCAAAAACAATGTCCTTTCTTTGTAACCACTGCTTTAGGAGTTTTTAAACAGATACCGAACTGTATTTCTTTTGTTTCATAGATAGATCCTTCCATCTATTATTGTAGAAGGGAATATATTTTATTCTATATGATTTACAGTTTAATTGTGGCAAAAATGAGTTCCACAAAGTGGTGCTTTAAATTGAAATCCATACAGAAACCATGCTATTATTTCTAATAGTTTTTACCTAAAAGAAAGCCACCACTGGACCAAGTATCTCTTTGTATTGTTTGTTTTATAATAAACTTGCTGGAAGCTGGCTAGCTTTTCACATAAAAGTTACAATCACTGAAAGTCACTGCTAGAAAGGGCAGTTTAAAAGTTATTTTTAGATGCATTGGGCTATCGAAATGGCTGGTGGTTAGGAGCATTGGGTGTTCCTCTAGAGGACCCAGGTTCAATTCCCAGCACCCACATGATGACTCATAACTGTCTGTAACTCCACTTCCAGGGGATCTGTGGCATCAGACATGCAGGCAAAATACCCATACACATAAAAATATATGTGTTAAGGTTTCCAATAAAGCAAAACCAAATTCACACTTTATATAAACAGACAATGCCAAACAACCCCCCTTTCAACAAAAGCAAAAAACAAATCCAAGACCATCTCACAAAAAGGGTCAAGACACTCCCTCCTACTCCCCCTGCCCCACTGGATGCTGTGGGCTGAGTGGTTGGTTCAGGAGTAGGTAGAAGCAGTGTCCAGTGCCCTCTGACCTGGAGCTTCACAAGATTTCACTTCTTGCCTGGATAATGAGCGTGTCCAGTCTTTACTAAGACTAAATCACAACAGCAACTTCATGTCAGTCGTCACACTGGTTGCTGTCCAGGAGAGTCAAGACAAGAGCTATGCATTACTCAGTACTACTTTGGCCCCCGTGGCCCATTTTTCTGTTTTAACCTTGAAATAGTGTTGAGGACTAGAGACACTTAGGCTTCTAGCAACATTATGAACAAGACAGTAACCTAAATTATTTAGTTTCAGAGTTCTCCGGGCAGATGACTGTTGTGGAGGAAAAGAGAGTCAATCTTTAGGAAGGTGTCCCCACAGGTATGTCCCCTTGTTCCAGTGAGGCCCACCCACACACATAATGCGCAGCACCAACTGGATTTAATGGGTTAGAAAAACTGAAACCATGGAGATGGGACAGTACATGTTGATAGGCACACAGGGGGACTGGAAGAGGAAATTGGGAGTATAGTCATATATCACTGTATGCACGTATGAAATTCTCAAGAAAATTATTTTTTAAAAGTACATGAGGGGGGTGAGGGGTGGGAGAGGGAGAAGGGATTGACATGTGAAACAAGCTTGTTCCTAATTTGAACTAATAAAAAAATTTAAAAAAAAGTTCATGAGTATAGCAGAATATCATTAAGAATCATTTCACTGACGTTTTTTACCCATTGTGTTTGGTTCTATCCTAGGTCTCTGGGTCATCCAGCCTTTGGGTCCTGGCCCTCCAGGCAGTGTCAAGGGTGTGCTCCCCATCATGGCATGGGTGTAAAGCTGGAACAGCCAGTCACTGGTTGGCCACTACTATCATTTCTGTGCCACCTTTACCCCAGCACATCTTGCAGACAGGACAAATAGTAGGTGGAAGGTTTTGTAGCTGGTTCTTGCCTGGTTCCAGGAGATGGTCAATTCAGGATACGTATCCCCTATTACTAGGAGTCTTAGCTAGTATACTCATAGATTGGTGCCTGGTCCAACTGTCATCAGAAAAACATCTAGCAACTGATGGAAACAGATGCAGAGACCTACAGCCAAACATCAGACGGAGCTGGGGGAGTCCTGGGGGAGTCCTGTGTGTGTGTGTGTGTGTGTGCGTGTGTGTGTGTGTGTGTGTGTGTGTGTGGGGGGATTGTAGGAGCCAGTGGGGTCGAGGACACCACAAGAAAACCCACAGAATCAACAAACCTGGGCTCATGGGGCTCAGAGACTGAACTGACAGCCAGGAAGCCTAAGTGGGACTGACCTTGGCCCATGCATACATGTCACAGTTATGCAGCTTGGTCTTCTTGTGGGACTTCCTAACAGTGGGAGCAAGGGCTGTCTCTGACTCTTTTGCTGACTTTTGGGACCCTACTCCTCAACACTGGGATGCTTTATCCAGCACAATGGGGAGAGGTGCCTAGTCTTACTGCAACTTGATATGTCATACTTGGTTGACATTCATGGTAGGCCTGCCCTTTTCTGAATAGAAATGGATGAGGAGTGGATAGGGATGAGGAGTGGATAGGCATGGGGTAGAGAAGGGACTGGGAGGGCAGAAAGGAGGGGAACTGTGGTTGGGATGTAAACACACACACACAGACACACACACACACACACACACACACACACACAGAGAGAGAGAGAGAGAGAGAGAGAGAGAGAGAGAGAGAGAGAGAGAGAGAGAGAGAGAGAGAGAGAGAGAACTTGAAAAAATAGAAATATGCCAACAAGGATGAGGGAAATTTCACCACTAGATGAACTACAGGCAATTAAAGGCTGCTGAGAGAATTAAATCTTCTCAAGGGGCAAGACCCCAATAGTCTATTCAGTGCTAAATACATATACATATAAGCAACAATAGCTGAACTCCACAGATTAGGGGTATGTATATGCGTGCACATGCGTGTCTGTGTAACAATAATTGAAGGGTTATGAATTTGAGAGGTCTGAGAGAGCGTGGGGGTGATAGGGAGGAGTTGGATGGAGGACAAGGAGTTGTAGAAATATGGATACAATATGCATGAGGGAAAGTCTCAAAAAAATTTAAGTTAAAAAATACATAAATATAAAAATATTTCAAGAAAGAATTGCATCATGATACAACAAAATAATCTCTTGACTGCTTTGGAACCAATCTGTGGGTATGAAGACAAATAGACACTTGTGACTGAAAGATAATGCAAATGTGCCAGAAGCACCAGCCCTTCTTCCGAGCTCTGGTCTCTTACAGAGCTCAGGGCATTGCCAGTTACCAGGTTCCAGATAACCTGTAGCCAGCGAGCCCATTAGTACACATTGCTTTGCCTCGTGCTTCTTTCCTACTTAAGGAAAAGTCACCAATTACAATACTACTCTGGAATTTCTAGGAGCTCCCACTTTATTCTGAAATGAAAATGAAACATGCGCTTGTTGGCATATTGAAAGCGTTTTTCACTCTTTAGGGTAACATTAAAATGAGGCAGATAGCTGTTGAAGAGATATTACTGTCTACTTACCCCTGATCAATGAAGCCCAACCCACTTGTAATAATGGTTTTTATTCCATATGGAAAAGTACAGTAGTTGTGCAGAAACAAACTACATAACAAAGGAGAAAGACTTTCACAAATATTAAAGAAAACAATAAATAGCCATAGTAATTAGAGCAGAACTCAGAGAAAGCTCATACAAATGGCCTAGCTTTTTGTACAAAGCACGCTACACACACAGGAACAAACGCTGAGTCATACTGCAAGGTTCCTATTCGTACAAAAACCTTCGTGATGTTTGCAGGGACATCACGGCTATTCATTTTTAAAACATTCTGCAAATATAGAACTTCCTTCTCCCCAGTTCTAGAAAATACATCTCACATCTCAACATATAAAATACTTCCCCCACTTCTCTCAAACCAGCATTTGAACATCTTCCAATAATACCATTTTCCATATAAAAATACCTTGAATCCCTGTACCTTATCTTTACAGAGGAATAGTAGGCCAGCTTGGACTTTAGCACCTCAGAGGTGTTCATACAATGAGATAAAGTGCTGTTACGGGTATACTGTTAACATGCCATGAGAACGCATTGTTCAGTGCAGTGACCAGCATGGATGAAGCTTACAGAGGACATGCAGATCAATGGCGGGGTTCTGTTGTTTGTCTTTAGATTAACTTCTTTTGGGTTATATTTACAAGTCTGAATAAAACTGGGCTAGCCATTTATATATACAACATGTGATTACGAAATAATGACTGCAATAATGAAAACAAAAACGAACACCCAGTCCTCAAGGGTCCTGTTTAAACCCTGGCCCTAGAGGACATTGGAGGCTTGTTTCAGAGACTTCCAGCACTGTCCTGAGGACTTCTGGAACCAGTTAGAGATAATTTGTAGGCACCATCAAGAGTGCTTCTCTTATTACTTTTGCACGCAAGTATCTGACCTGGTAACAATCAAAATGCTAGATAGCCTCTTCCCTTTCTTCAGCAACACTGTGAAGCATAAATATAGTTCCAAAAGGGGACTATAAAAATACTCTGCAAAAAGACTGTAACATAGAAGTAAGTGTTTGATCCCCTCTGAGTAACTGCCATGACAGGAATGATACTAGGGTGTGCTCATATTTCCCTCACAGAAAGAAAAAAAAAAAAAAAAAAAAAAAAACCCTGCTGTTTACAGTCACATTTATATTCATCTAGAAACCACTCAGGTTGTAATTTTTATGCATGTGTAAGACCTGGGGTGTGGCTAAAGGGATCTGTAACTTAAATATTTCCCCATTTTAGCCAGAACACACTTCCAGATATTAAGTCAGGAATTAAAATCTTTTACCAATGTTTTTTTTTTTCTTTTCTTTTCTAAGTAAATGTGCTTTTGTACATAGCAAACCAAATGGTCTCCTAAGAGAACAGCATAGGTTGATGTCTCCTTGGCAGCCTTTAAATTGATAGGTAGAAGCTGACTGTAATTTTCAATTCTGTTTAGTATTCCTGCTTGTGGGTGATTTCTAGCTACTTACTATAGTTTTATCCTATATTTTTAATATGTCAATGGCATCGGATCCACCCAGGAGGTGGAATATATGGCTAAAATGTAATTTTTATAATGAAAAAAAAAAAAAAAAAGAAGAAGAAGACGACATTATTCGCTACCACGAGCCAACAGACTGCACTCCAGATACCACACAGGGTTGCTTTAAGGCTCACACATTTGACTCTATGAATGATCGCTTTGGTTTCGCTGAAGTGAGGTGGCTCCTGTGGGCTTCCGTACTGACATGAGGCGGCTGCTTGGAGATGTTTTCCTGGTACAGGTGAGGAACACCCTTAGTTATCCTGTTGTCTTGACACAGGGCTGGAATTTGGCAATTACTCTCCTCCAGCTCCTTCACCTGTGCCCCATTGTGGACATTTGTGCTCAGGGCAGAAAATGAACTGGGTTTGGCTTGGCTACAATAGCCTCCTGGCTTGAGAGTGGACTTCTCGGAGTTAGACTGCAGGCCAGCTGCAGTGGCTGTGTTTGTCAGTAGCCCCTCTGCCACCTGACAGTGCCAGGAGCGACTTGGAGGATTGCTCTGCTGCTGAAACCTGGCAGTCTTGTCCATGATGCCCATGAATGGAGTATTGCGGGGCCTGTGTTCAGTGGTGCCGCCCTGCACCTGGTTGGTACCTTTGTCTTTGATTCGAGAGTCTGGTCCTTGGACCTTGAATCCATCTGAAAAACTACTGCTGGAAGTCAAACTACTGGTTGAACTTGACATCTTAATGCTGCTGGATGGAGAGCCAGAAGAGCCGGAGCTAGTGTGGGAAGCCAGGTGCCGCACATCACTGCAGCTCACTGGTCCACCCTGGCTTGGAGGAGCTACATCCACGGTCATGGAGGCATGAGCCAAGAGCCGCTCTGCAGCTTTGACTTTGCTTGGTAAAGGATATGCAGTGCCGCTCTCACTGCGCTGCAGCTGAAGATTCTGACTGGGGCCCAGCCGTTCCCCAAAATGGCCACAACCAGTTCCTGCAGTGAAGGGACCCTTTCCTTCCAAATGCTGGTTTCTGCTCCCGGTAGGGGCTGCAGATATTCTACCAGGCATGGGACTTGGCGGAGGGTTCTGGGAAGAAACTTGTAGTTTTGCGCTACTGCTCCTCATACTAGACTGCCCAGAACCCAGATGTTGGTTGGTCTTCACTATCTGTGCCTGTTTTGTAGGCTGCATAACCAAGCCTGGCTGAGCTACAGTCTCTCTCAGGGACTTGCTGATGCCTGCCCGGCTCTGAGGTGACACTGGCCTGGCTTTGGACTGTAATCCCTCTTGAAGGTTTCGGATATACGGAGAAGGGACAGAGGCCGGTGGCTGGGATCTGGGAGTCGGGGAAATGGATTCTTCCTGCGAGGAGGTTTCCTCCTCTTCTGCCTCCTCGATGGGGAAGTGGTCTTTTAAGCTAGAGGCTGGCACGTCCTCTTCATTATCTGAGTCATTGGATGGAGCTGGCAGGGGCCCCTGCTGTTTTTGCTGCTGGTTCCTCTGGAGTTGCTTGCACTCTTCTTCAACACGAGCCAACAGCCTCTTGATTTCCTGGTTTGTGGGACAGAGGTTCACAGCCTCCTGCAAGTCAGCCAGGGCTGCCAGGAACTGCCTTCAAATGAAAGCAGAATGTGTGATTAGGGGTCATGTGAGCATGCTCTGATTGTAACTATCCTTAATCTAGCTGTCCTCAGAGGGGAAAGAGTGAGGTTCGAGCACTTGTGGAGCTGGTTAAGTCCTGCTTAGCCCAGAGTTGCTGGACCAATAGAGGGCTGCACTCTAACCCAGGGCTTTGTGACTCCCTGATCTATCCATAAAGGCTCACAGACAGAAGGTGCCAGAATCCTGCTCACATTACCTTCTTTGGCTCTCATCATGCCCCCTTCTAACTCAGAGGTCAGACATAACCCTGCTCTGCCTCCATGCCACCCCTATTTGTCAGTCACACTGAATCAAGAAGTCAGCAGGTGTTCTGTGCTGAGGTATGGTGGGTGGCGAAGATACTAGAATGTCAGGAAAATGAAAGGTTAGCCACTACAGTAACACCCACTAACATGCCTCTATTAAAAAGAATGCAAATTGTCAGAGTAACAGCCTTGATGAAGGAAAATACCCTCAACCTAATCTAGCAGGCTTGACCTCCCAAAAAGAAAAAAAACCCATAGTCACATGGGTGACGCCAGACAGTACCTGCTATTCCTTTTTGCTCTTGCCCGGGCATAAAAGGCTTCATAGGACTTGGGTTTCAATTCCAGAGCCTTTGAAGCAAATTCTTCTGCCAAGCCAAAGTCCTGTGGTGGATAGGTAAACACACAAATTAGAAGTAGCTGTCTCCTGAGAGCTTGGCTCTAAGAGTAGGAGCACTAGGACCTGGGGGGTAGGGCAAGGCACACTTCTCCGTCACTTGCCTGTTAAAATTAGATAATCAGAGCCTATGGCTACTCTTAAAGATCCCGTATAGAAGCAACAATTATGACTCAGGAGAGAGCAGTGGTAACAGGGCACAGAAGGCATAGGTGGCCGGAAAGGGTCCAGGCCAAGCACAGTCTATATGTGTCTGTGTGCACGCATGCATCCTTCTTCTCTCTCAGCAGGGCAGGTGATGTGGGGCCCAAAGCAGGTGAGTGACACTGGGTGGAGGTAGAGGGGATGAAGTTCAAATATCAGTAGGAAGAACTATAAAACATCTATAGTAATAAACTATAAGTTAACCATTACTGGTTATAAATTTAGCATTTACTAAACAGGCTCTCTGAGCAAACCTAACGGCCAGGAGGCAGCTTGACTTAACAGCTACTGGTGTTGAACTTTTCATGTGGGGAGGGTAAGCCCTTGATTGTTGACAAGGCTGGTAGCATCAGCTGGGGGAGAGGGGTACAGCTTGTGTCTGCTGCTTTCACTGAAGCAAAGGAAATTCAACTTAAGTGCATTCCATCAGCATTTGGGGAGGTGGGCAGTGTGTGACCTTGACCTTTGAGAGGTCACCGAGAGCAGCAGGTTCCCAAAGCACCCCAGTCAGATTTGGTAGTCCCAAGATTGAGCCTAAAGGATGGCCTTCACTGCTGCTAAAGAACTGAATGTAAAAACAAACAAACAAAAAAAAAAAACAAAAAAAAAAAACAAAACAAAAACCCTCCTGGCTTACATTTGTTTTCCTTCGGCATCGAGACAGATTGAGATACAGGGAGACTCTGAGTTCATTGAATGGCCTCATGTCTTCTCCGAATCCTTCCCGAGGGAACTTCCTTAGTGCATACTGGTACCTCTGGGCTGCCTCCTTCATCTTCCCTTTCTAGGATTCAAAAATCACATCAAATTATCCTTTCTTAGGGCTCTAAGAGGAACCACCATGTTGAAGACCCCCACGTACAAGCATCACAGTGCAAGAGAAGGATCCACGAGTAGGTAGGTGTCCTAGTGGGAACCATGACACTGACTCTTCTCAACATGCTCAGGCTTAACAAGAAAGTGTTTGTAAACTGCAAAATCACCAACTCTCCATCTTCATGCATCAAATTATCTTCGCACATATAATTTCAGTGTTACTGCAATACATTTTAATTTCAAGGATAATAGAAGGCCAAAGAAAAGATGTCGCCATTCCTAATGCAGGCTGTGCCTCGTGGATAAACCTGCAGCTGGCTGTAGAATAATAATTTTCCTGTTAGAACTGGCTTCAGAAATCAGAGCCACAGCACATCCCTCTCAAGGCTACAGAAATCCATTTGCTCAGTCAGCCTCACTTCTCAGCGGGAGCTGCAGCCTGCTGGAAATGGCTTGGTATTTCTGACATAATTACCTAGCAGAATCCATATTAAAACCACTTCAAAGCCACAACAATATACACCCTGAACTCAATTTCCAACCGACTCCAAGCTGGGAACCCTGCTGGGTCATGCTATATGCCTCGTTATTTGTTACCATGAAGAGCAAAACAACAAAAAGGAAATAAATGAACAACCTAGCGGAGAAAGCTGCCTAGTAGTGAAAAGGATTAAAGTAGTCACAATCCCCCCACCACCACCACCACATGCCCCGAATAATCTTAATTCTACCTAATTACAGGTCT